TACTACACACATAGGACACAGAACTTTGAGGATCCAAACTGGATCTGACCAGAAAGCCACCTCCCTGGAGACTACCTTTCATAATCCAGGATAGTGCTAAGTACGCAGCCAATGACACAAAACATCAATTGTCCCACCCAGCTGTAAAGTCTATGAACCACAACAACCAGTAAGAGCACTTATTCTCAAAGGTGCAATAATGGCAATTATACATTGGCAGTAACCAATAGCTATCTAATGGGACTTAAGACCTATCCAAGAAGAGGGAAATAGGATCAACAGTCACCTGTTGGTCATATCCAAACCACACAACTCATAAGTGATGTAGTCAACTTTAAATGAGAGACAATAGAAAACAAAACGTGTCAATAAAGAAACAGGGCTAGCTCATGATATATTAGATGTTCCAGAGTAATTGTTTGAAAAAGGTTTCTAAAACATTTCCCAATTCACAGAATAATCAGTTTTTAATGTTAATTTCTAAATTATTCCTAAACCATCCAGATCAGAAACACTTTCCTGTATGTAGAAATGCAGAATTTTCAGTACAGTGTCTATTTTTAGAGACCTCATTAGGAAACAAGCAAAATGTTCATTTAAAATCATGTGATTAATGACACTAATTCCAGTATTATTGAAATACTGCAACATTTTTAAATAATCAGGTCATTTTGCTAGGAAGATGACTAAATCACTTCTAAAATACACAAAACATATCAATTGTGTAGCTCTACTGATAATACATTATAAAGCATTCTGGATAATTTAATCAATTCTATTCCCTTTTTTGGATTGATGTGTTTCAAGAGGCATAGGTATCCATTGTATACATTAGGCAAGAGGTAATGTTTATTTGATTTGAGAATAAGTGCAGAATGTTTGTGTTAGGATTAACTATATGGGAGAACTACCCTGAGAAGCTATCAAGGCTCTAGGCAGGACCACCGTATGACCAGACCCACTTCCAAGGGTCCTTAGTACTAAGCATGTGATAAAATGTCTTCCAGCAGTTCTGGCTTGAGCTGAGACTTGGCATTTTTACTGTTAGCTCTCACAGACTCTTTTTTTTTTTTTTTTTTTTTTTTTTTTTTTTTTTTTTCCTGGAACTAGCTTTTGTAGACCAGGCTGATCTTGAACTCACAGAGATCCACTTGCCTCTGTCTCCCAAGTGCTGGGATTAAAGGCATGCACCACCACTGCCTCTCACAGACTCTTTTTTTGTCATTTTTTATTTGAATTAGAAACAAGATTGTTTTACATGTCAATCCCAGTTCCCTCTCCCTCCCCTCCTGCCCTACCACCCACCCCCAGCTAAAACCCTACCTATCACATATCCTTTCTAATACTCTGCTGTTTTGAGCACTTGGTGTAACTCTAGAAACAACACCATGGTCCATGGATTCCTTGAAAACCTTATCTACCTAAAGCCATTGTATCTTCAGGAATGGCTGGTTTAAAATTTTGTTAATGCCACAAGCCATCGCATCACATGGCACCAACAAACAGTGCCTAAAATACCTCAGCTCAGATCCAAGATTACTGTTTGCCTTGAATCACAATGTTTTCACTGTACATATAAAGTTTTCTGCTCTGACAGAGCATAATGGTTTAGCTACAGGAAAAGAAGCATTTTTCTAGTCTTTCCTCACCAGGTATTAAGTTAACATATCTTTATATTGTGTCATGTCAGAATACTTGGTTATTTTGGGGTTTTGACTTTGCTTTTGGGGGGCTTGTTTTTTATAATTCTTGATTCCATTTCTGAGTTCAGTTTCATTTTATACAAAAAAAATGACTCTGGCTTTGAGGTTAGAACAGAATTTCCAACAATTTCTCAAATAGTCCAAAACATACTTATGCCATTTTGTGCTATGTATTTATAGAAAGCAATATTCTCAGCATCAATAACTATATGGTCAAAGTATTAACTCCAAAGAAACACATTGTACAACCTGAAGTAGCAAATATTCACTTTGGATTTAATTCTATATGTAAAATAAATAAGTACAACCATTTCATTAGTGAAAAAAATTGCTAATGTCTTTTCTTCCTTCCTCTACCACCCAAATTAAAAAAAAAAAAAAAACTATTGTGCATGGTCAGTGTGACACTCAGTATCTTCTACAGGACTACTGCTCAACCTTCTTGCTAAGGAACTGAGACAAGGGCAAACTCCACAGTTTGGAAGCAGTAGTTCTACACACATCCTCTTAAATGTGGAAGTTGGTTTCCCAGGAGCAAACAACATGTTAATTCACTTAGTAATTGCTTACTCCTGCTTTGTGGTAGACACTCTTCTAGGCTCTCCCACAGGCTGATGTATGGGACAGAGCATTGAAAAAAGTCATAAGGGAAGAATCTTATTTTTCTTCCTCCTCCAAGGCTTCCCCTTTCCTTCATTTCTTCTTTTTGTCCTTCCTCTTTCCCTCATTCCTCCTACCCCTTTTTTATGTTTCTGCAGGGTCCCTAGATAGCTCAGGTTGGCTTGGAATTCTGGACTTCCTAGCCTCAGCCTCCTGAATAATAGGATTACATGAGTGCACCACCACGTCCAGTATAGACGTCCTCAAAACAGAAAAAAGTTGAGTAAAATATTCAAAATTACCTGACCTGGATTTTAATTCTCCTATGTCTTGTTCTTTTTCAGGCTTCCAGTATTTTATGAGATGCATTAAAAACTGCAATTTGACAAACTTCTCTATCATTGCTCTTTCTTAAAACTGCCTCCACCATGCATTAGTCGGGGAGCACTCGTTCCATCAATTGTTATGAAAGCCTGGTACTTTTATCGCATCTATTATTTTTATTTGGATAATTTTACATTTTGCCTGGCATTTCAAGCCCCCCACCGCAAATATCAAGTGTTCTGTTTATATTACCATTCCCTTTCCTTCAGTCCCACCTTTTAACCCAAATCCTACGAGGCTTTTCCAGTTTGCTTGATTATTAGCTATTGAAAGGTTAAGTCTCACAGAAAACCAGCTACTTTCTTATTATCAAAATATCAACTAACTTCAAAACCATCTACCACATATTTCCCAGAGATGCTTGCCAAGGACAAACACTGCAAAGGGAAATATCAGTCTATATTATAATAAGCATATACACTAAATGTGTCGGGAAACTGGTGAAAAGGCTCCTGATTTTTGCCCCATGTGTTTTATTCATCTATGGCTATAGAAGTACATTTGTTACTTCGTGGTCAAGAAGAGAAGATAAATAGAGTGAGCCCACAGGGAAAAGGACTTTGATGATTCCGGTTGCTGGAACCTTCTGCCAGAGTAATTATAAGCTCCAATAATAAGGGCATGGCTGTGCTTTCTGCTTTCCAGTTTCCTCAAAAATTGTTTACTATTCAATGCAAGGTTTAGAAAACTCCTCTCTTGATGTAAAGTGCTACATTAAATTAAAAACATTTCAGTCAAATCAGAAACGACCTCATATATATAATACATATAAATTATATATGTATATATATGACAAGCTAGTACTTGCAAGGAAAAGGGGTCCTTAAAGGTTATTTTTCTCAATTTTCATATTCAGAGACTATAGCTTTTTGCCAAACTAAATATTTTGTAAGTATCTTTAACAAAGTAGCATAAAACTACCATTATTCTCCAATGGAACTTTATTCAAAAGTTTCATTTTATATGTAGCATTTAATTCAGTATAATGTAGTATATGTAATTCTCTCCTATTGCTTCCATTTCTAGACATATGAGGTGATCTGGCAACTACACTTCAGGAAGGTGAATGAATTCCACCTTTTCAAAATCTCAGGTCCTAGGAGACTTGTTACTTTGAAGTAACCTCAAAAAGGAAGATTTAAAAAAAATAATAGGAAAGACTATTTGAAATTAGATTTCTAATTTATCAAAATACTGCTAGTGAGATTCGTGGCTGCCCTGTGCATCTGCTCATCCTTTGTGCCTAGCAAAGTACTATACATATGGTGCCTGTTAAGAGAACCCTAGCTGGGCAGTGATGGCTTACACCTTTAATCCCAGCACTCAGGAGGCAGAAGCAGGCAGATCTATGTGAGTTCGAGACCAGCCTGGTCTACAAGAGCTAGTTCCAGGACAGCCTCCAAAGCTCACAGAGAAACCCTGCCTCAAAAAGAGAGAGAGAGAGAGAGAGAGAGAGAGAGAGAGAGAGAGAGAGAGAACCCTATACATCATTATCAGTAAACAAATATTTTTTACTAAGTTGAGAAGTGCTAGGATTAGTAAAAGGCCAAATTTATTTTTCATAGATGGAAATATATTCTTTTTAATAATGTGGAGATCAATTTCAGCCAATTTTGCCTCTTATATAACATGCTTGCATCCTAGACTAACCAAGGTCCTTCTCAGCATGATGCACACAGTTGAGTCACTGGCTGTTACATACTTTGTAATTAGTGGTACTTTTATCTCCTTTTCCAACAAAAAGGAGAATAGGTTAAAATCAAATTAGACTGATGTCAGCTGTACATCTGTAATATTTTGCTGAGAATTTTTATGTGTACATGTGATTGGATAGTTCTGGTATCAGCCCCCCGGGTTATTAAGGGAAATACAAACACACCATGATTCTCTGACAGTCTGCCCTGTTCCTATTTTCTGAATCTGAGCTGCATGATTCACATCTAAACACTAAAGAAGGAGCTATGTGCTGAATTCACCATGGTTGACCATTCCATGGGGAAGTTAGCCTGCAAGTTGTGTCATTTTGTTTTGGCTACATTTTGTTGACTTAGCCACTTCATAACTTTATTACTGTCAGCTTGATTTTAATTTGAATGGAATCTTTCAGCACATGAAGGCACATCGTAGTTATTTTTAAATGAATTACTGAGTGATTCACTAGTGAAACATTCTGGGGATGCTAGAAACATCACCAGATGATTTAATATACCAAACGAAGGTATATGCAGCTAGCAAATTTATTGTGGCAATGTGACTTGCAACATATGACCCAATAATTCTCTGGGCACAGCTGTCACTCTCATTTTATCTTACCTCCAGCACTGGACATCCTGGAGGGGTCCTGATGAGAGCTGGATTTATTGCGGTTTTGATTTTTCCGTTTGTTAGCTGCTCTCACAGATCGAAGAAGTACCTCACTTGCCTTGAAGAAGGCCACCATGAATGGCTGTTTTGACTGAGGTCCATGTCTTCCCACGAGACCAGCAGATTTTACGTTAATACTGCGTCCTAGGACATAATATATAAACATTTGGTTTGTGAGAAAGATTAAGTTGTGTGAGCTCTGCAGGACTTTGAAAAGGAGAAAAATACTTAAGCGTTATTAGAATGTTTTCTTTATAGACCAAGATTCTTATAAACCTTGATATTTATAATTAAAGGCAAATATCGAGGCATATTTGTTTACTTGTCTTACTAGTCTACCACAGCATAGAGCACATGGAAGTACACCAGGTGACATCCCATGGCTGCTCTTGTTCACTGACATTTTCTCAGACAGCAAGAGAGGTTAAGAGTAATAAAAAAACCCATATTTTTTCTCTAAATGATAAGAACTGAATGGCTGTGGGGTATGTCTTTATTCCAGATAGCTTCAGCCTTTCTCATATTAAATCAGTACCAATAGCCCATTCACTTCTGGCTGTCAGTAAAGTTTACAAAGTTGTTTGCTCTAGTTAACGTTCTTCATGCCATTCTGGGAGACTTTTCCTGGGAACGCAGGTCTGTTGTGAGCCCCATGCTCATTGTAAAACATTGTGAAACAAAGATGACATTTTCTAAATTCCTCTCCTAGTGAGTTTCTACAAACTGAAAGTTGACTGGGAAGATTGAAGACTCAAATGAAGTCTAGTGACTCTCCAAAAAGAGAAAAGTCCTAAGTGAGTTCATAGACTCACATTTGATGTGTATTTAGTTTACATCTAGGACCCTTGTTTATCTGTTTATGTGGCTGTACATCAATGGAAGAGGGAGAAACCAGAGCGTGTTGCAAGTCAGAGTGTCCTAGGCTCTAGAAAATGACGTGTCTTAAAATGCCTTTCCTATGGAGTAGCAATATTTATAACCATGTCAATATGTTTTGAGTGCTTCCTGTGAGTATACTATATAATTTTCTGTGAATTTCCTCTGCATTATTTAATATGATTCCACAAATACTATAGGAATTAGGTACTACTATGCTCCCAATTGAAAGTAATTGTCACTTTAAGTTATGTTTTATATAATATGTAACTAAACATAAATAATATATAAGGACCTATTATATATTCTATACCAGATACACAATGAAAACCATTGATTGCTTTCTAGTTCCATGGAAATCACCCAGAGGAGGTGAACTATTTAGTCTTATGCTGTAACTTTACTTGGAAATTACTCAGGCTTATTGAAGTTACTATTCTAGATATGAAATTACTGATTCTATAAGAGTAATATATAACATGGCTTGAAATATGTGCATGATTGACTCTGGCTTGCCCCTTGAGAAATGTGCATGTGTTCTCAAAATATTTATTCAGTAAAGACTATAAAGCAACCTCAGTCTACTACAAGACCTAACCAACCATAGAAGAAAGAAAGGAGAAACAAGTCCCTAAAATGGCATCAGTGGCATTTAACCAAATAAGCCCTTGTTCTTAACAAAGTGTATTTTGGCAGCAAAAACAGTTTTGTGTGCGCATGAATTGTTCAGAGAGACTTCTCTACCATCAGAAACGAGAGTGTGGTGTAAGTTCATGCAGCTGTTGTGAGAGAGACAGGGGTTCTTCACATGTCGCGATGCTAGCTTTTAAAAGAAAGTTCTCACCAATCCAAGCTCCATGGGTATCTTCAACAATCATCCCATAACAGAGTAAGTTGTCTACAAGAATGAAAATGGACATCTGCCTCACAAGCCTCTCTGCACTCCCTCAGTCCTACCAGGAAAGGGACTTACAAATAACCCAAGCAGTAAACCTTAAACAAATAAGCATACACGTTTTTCTTTCAAATGCAAACTTATGGTGGCTCTGTGCCAGAGTGTATATACTTCTTAGGAAAACTTTATCATTGGCATAAATGAAAGAGGCAGTTTGATTTGTGGTTAGAGTAGTTTCCATTTTACTTCCACTGTAACAAATGTATTAATTCAGCTCAGACTTCCTCCTCCTGGCAGCTCTTGTGCTGTAAAAAGAGAAATTAGGAGTTCCAGCCAAATACCATACCTTGAACTGACCCACTTCAATACATAAACACTTTTACAACGTGTTTATTCAGGTGTAGCCCTTGAAATCGGTTTAAGAGTTTCCAGCAACAGAGAGCTCGGCAAAAGAAAAGAAAATGCGAACTGAGAAACTTAACTGTTATGGAATAGAAGAACTGGCAATCTGTTCTTCATTTTTTTTGTCCTGTTTTGAAATATAACATAAAAAAGTATTTGTTGAAACTTTTACTTTGATATTTTAATGAAGTGTTAATTTAACAGTAGCTAGACTTTACTTGTACACAGAGATGACTGCAGAGACTATTTTTTAATATATGATCTTTCTGATTCTGAAATAGGTTACTTCACAGTGGTAAAATTGGTTCTCTATTCATTACAATACACATTGACTTTTATAGTTAACTCAAAGCTCAAAGTTTCCTTCAATTTGAAATGTTTCTCTTTTTTTCCAAAAAAAAACTCAGTATTTTTATTTTTAGCTATAGGAAAATAATACTACTCTAAAGATTTATGTTCTGAAATTTGTAAAGATGTGTGCTACAAATCAGTTTCCTTGAGATTTTCAAAGAAGATATTGTTTTTTTTTCTTTTTTATTTAAATTAGAATCAAGTTTCTTTTACATGTCAATCCCAGTCCCTCTCCCTCCCCTCCTCCCCTGCCCCCACCGACCCTTTATCCCAATCCCTTTCTGCTCTCCAGGGAGGGTGAGGTCTTCCATGGGGGGAATCTTCAAAGTCTATCATTGTATATGAATCAAAGTGTCCCTTCAAATCAATGTGAATTCCTTTTAAAAATTACTTTAGATATTACTAAATTTCTTCTTGGTATTTCACTTCAGCAATGAAGTAACAATTAAGATTTTGTAAATTCATGCTTGCTCAGTTACCCTTGATCTTAAACTATGTTATAAAACTATTATCTATTTTGTCTATTCTCTAGATGAATTATACATTGATTATGCTGGTTAAACCTTTTGGATGATTGATCAGCTGTTTCCATTCTAAGTGCTCACAGGATCTTAGAATATATTGCATGTAATAAAGATAGTGAAACTTTTAAAATATATGGGATCATTTTTCATTTTATAATTAAATGTATAATACATGTTAGGTATTGGATATATGAAATAGATGCAGCCTCAACCATTTTGACTTAAGAAAACTGTGTTTGTATATTACCAATACTCTTCAAAGCTGACCATGTTTTGAGTTATTTCCAAGTTAGAAAAATATACACAATGACAGAAAAACAGATTGAACACATAATAGAAATTAAAATGGGGTGTGATAGTAAAAGAGCACTAATATAGGAATGCTAAAGATTTTTGCCTGAGAATACAGTTAAGCACTTTACAACTCATGCATATCTTGGCATAGCTATAACTAAATAGTTCAATCCAGCAGGGTTATATTTGAAAAAAGTAGCAGCCTACAGTATGGGGAAATATTTTATCAACTACACATACAATAGAGGAATACTATTCAAAATATACAATGAATTTAAAAAACTAGATATGGGATAAAGATCTAAACAGAATTCTCAAAAGAATAAACTCAAATCACTGAGAAACACTTAAAGAAATGTTCAACATCCTTAGCCATCAGGGAAATGCCAATAATTACTATTTGAGATTCCATCTCATACATGACAGAATGACTAAGATCAGTGAACAAGTGACAATTCATACTGTCAAGAATGTGAAATTAAGTAAGGGGAGCACCCATCCATTACTGGTGGGAGTGCAAATTTGTACTGCCACTATGGAAATCATCGTGATGGTTCTCCAGAAAGATGAGAATTTATCAACCTCAAGATCCAGCTGTGCCACTCTTGGGCATGTTCCCAAAGGATCCTTCATCCTACCACAGAGACACTTCTCAACCACATCCATTGCTGTTCTATTTATAATAGTCAGAAATTGGAAACAAGTTAGAAGTCCCTCACAGATGAATGAATTTTAAAAATGGGGTACATTTACACAATGGAGTATTATACATGCATTTTTTAAAATGACATCATGAAATTTTCAGGTAAATGTACCTGAACTAGAAAAATATCTTGAGTGAGATAATCTAGAGCCATAAAGACAATTATGATATGAATTTATTTATACATAGATATTATCTATTAAACCAAGCTACACTCCATAGAACTACAGAGTTTCAGGATAGACTAAGGGACTAGGGAAGACAGACAGCTCTCCCTAAGATGGGGAGACCCACAGCCATACAGCAGAGAGAACTTGGAATAGTCATCCCTAAACAGGATGTCTCCAGCAAATCCTTCCCTTCAGAGCTCAGTGGTCCTTAGAGAAGAGGAGCCAAAAACAGTGTAAGAGCCAGAGGCCCTCTAAATCAACATGATCCATGTACATAGTAGCTCACAGAGACTGAAGCAGCACCCACAGAGCCTGCATGGTCTGCACCAGATAGGGTCCTATTACTGAAAGGAGAATGGACACAGCCCTCATCCTTAACCCAGAAGCCATCTCTAGTTGACTACCACTTGCAAACAAAAGTTTAGTTTCCTTTAAGAAACTCACTGGGAAAACGAACTACTCTTAAGTATAGGCTGCATGGCCATAGGAAATGGCCAACAGAAAATAAACTTATCAGTGTCTTTGGAGGCTCTTTGCCTCATGTCATGTCAGGACTTTTCCTTCTTGTTGTTGTTTAATTTATCTATTTTTAATTTTTATTTATATATTTTTTCTTCTCTCTTTTTACCTTATGGTATATATTTGTGTATATATTATGGCTTCTAGGTTTTATGGGATTCCTGAGTGTGCAAATGATTGGGTCTCATGCCTTCTCTTGGGCTCTCTTTTACTTCTGTTTGTTTGTTTGTTTTGTTCCATTACAGTGTGTTAGTTTTTGTTTTATCGTATGTTGTGTGTTGCTTTATTTTATTGTTATCTCTTAGAATTCTGTTGTCTAAATTAGAGACATAGATAAGGTGGATCTGGATAGGAAGGGAGGTTGGGAAAAACTTGGAGGAATAGAGGGAGGAGGAACATTTCAGAAGTAT